AAAGGAAGGAAAGAGAGTGAAGTAAATGGATGAAGGGAAAGGAAGGAAAGAAAAGGAAGTAAATGGATGAAGGGAAGGGAAAGGAAGAGAGGGAAAGATAGAAGGGAGGGAAGTAAATGAATGAAGAAGGGAAGCGAAAGGAAGGAAAGAGAGTGAAGTAAATGGATGAAGGGAAAGGAAGGAAAGAAAAGGAAGTAAATGGATGAAGGGAAGGGAAAGGAAGAGAGGGAAAGATAGAAGGGAGGGAAGTAAATGAATGAAGAAGGGAAGCGAAAGGAAGGAAAGAGAGTGAAGTAAATGGATGAAGGGAAAGGAAGGAAAGAAAAGGAAGTAAATGGATGAAGGGAAGGGAAAGGAAGAGAGGGAAAGATAGAAGGGAGGGAAGTAAATGAATGAAGAAGGGAAGCGAAAGGAAGGAAAGAGAGTGAAGTAAATGGATGAAGGGAAAGGAAGGAAAGAAAAGGAAGTAAATGGATGAAGGGAAGGGAAAGGAAGAGAGGGAAAGATAGAAGGGAGGGAAGTAAATGAATGAAGAAGGGAAGCGAAAGGAAGGAAAGAGAGTGAAGTAAATGGATGAAGGGAAAGGAAGGAAAGAAAAGGAAGTAAATGGATGAAGGGAAGGGAAAGGAAGAGAGGGAAAGATAGAAGGGAGGGAAGTAAATGAATGAAGAAGGGACGGGAAAGATGGTAGGAAGTAAATGGCTGAAGGGAAAGGAAGGAAAGGAAATGGATGAAGAAGGGAAGGGAAAGGAAGAGGGAAATGGATGAAGGGAAGGGGAAGGAAGAAAAGGAAAGAAAAAAGCTCTTCTTCCTTCCCTGGCCATCTTTCTTTTTATGCTCCTCTATTTTTAAAAATTATAAATCTGCCAAGGCTGGTTTTTTCACCCTGGATTGCATATATGAAGCTTTTACAAACACCCGATTTAATTTAATTTATGAGATTTATAGGCCGCCCAATCCCGGAGGATTTATTACACACAGCCCTACATTATTTAAACTACACTGAGTCTAAGAATTGGAAATGTAGGCCACATTCCCCCTAAGGATCGCTTTCAAAAGCAAAAATAAACAGACCCAAATTCCGTATAAACAACCTTTATTTGGACCTGGTCAGGAAAGCTCTTCGGATCAGTCCATCAAAGGAAAACAAACAATTAATTACGCTTAGGTTACTGGTGTGAATTCAGCTTTTACACCCTTTTAAAACCATCCCTATCCCCAGGTAACACAATAAGCGCACAACACAATTATAAACTGCAGTTAAAATGGTCTTTTAGGAAAATTGTGTTCCAGCATAACCCAAGGAACAGAAAGCGCTCCCATCAATAAAGTTTTTTAAAAAAAATAATAAAGGTCCTGAAAGGAAATTTTAAAAACAGAAAGGAAAGCACAAGGAAAACAAGGAGAATATGTATAGAATATTTCTTGGCACAATAGATTATATATTGACTCGTAAAGAGAGGTTACAACATGGATAAAACTACACAAAAGTTGCTGCATTTGACCATTGAACCCGAAGCTTAAATATTGCCTATTTTTATTGATTTTATTTTTTTTAGAGACACCCCACCCCCCTCCCCGGTCAAAGTTTAAAGTCCTGAATGGCTTTCTTTGGAAGACAACATAGTTGAATTTTAATCCTTCAAACCTCAAATGGTTGTTTCACCCCGGTGTAGCTACATCGACTTGTTTTATTATTTTCCTCCTAATTTTCAATCTGTGACACGATTCCTCCTTCCCCCCAACATATCCCAATGTCCAGGTTACGTTAAGATTATTTAAACAGCGTAGAAAATCGGAGGGGTACACGGAGGCAGAAATGATCCTTGGCATGTTAACTCTTTAATAACCCAGCCCCAAAAAACCCCAATCGTATCAAAAGTAATCCTATTAAAAGCTCTAAAGCAGAAGGTGAAATATTAAGATTAAAAAGGAAAGGCACGTTTGAAGAACAACGGAGCAGAACAAAGTTTTGCAAGACCAGAGATTGAAATAAAACCTCACATGATTTAGGCCTCTCGGGCGGGCCAAGCTTTCAGCCGGTATTAAAAAATGTTTTTTTTTTTTTAAAAAAAAGAAGTCAAGTTGTTGTAGTTTTTGAAGATGGCTTCAGCCAGATAAAACATCGGAGGCAAAATCAATATTTCTTGGATGCTTATTTACGTTGAGAGGTATTTTCTGGGACCGGCATCTTAAAATATTTCTTGGAATTTCACGATAAAGAGATAAAAGAGCCAAGTGTTCTCCAAAAAAAGGTGCTTCTATCGAAAACAAGAGAAGAAGAAGAAGGACATGCTGTCATTTTTCAACTTTTTTCGGCAGCGGTCTTCGGAAAAGCAGGATGTGTGGCTCTGAAAAGGGAAAGAAACGGCACGTGAATAAGATTCCGTGAACTCGGATTTTTTCTCCAGCGGGAATCAAATCCCTCGGATCAGTTTTTATGCAGGGCAAGATGCAGAAAATAACCAGATCTTGAATGA